GGTGGTGCCACATGGCACATAGTTCGCTTGGACCCTCAACGAACTAGGTGCATGTCAGACACGTGGCACACCTAGTTCGCTCTAAGTGGCACCGAACTTGTCCAACCTGTCAACATTTTTTGCAGCCAAGTTCGCTACTTGGAGTAGCGAACTTGGTGTCCACCAGGAAAGTGACACATCAACAAACAGAGTTCGCTACAGAGCTCAGCGAACTTGCCCACATGGCATATTGGAAAATAACATTGTTGGCGTGACATTTAGGTAAAAAAGATAAGGAACAATGAAATTTTGATCACTGTTCCGGTAAGCAATTACCATGAATCATTTTAAAATAATTTATATTGTATAGTTAATAAAATTGACCCGAATATCGATCTACCCTAGTTTTCATTTCAGTGTTCCAGAATGAAATTATTCATGTAGGATTCAGATTTTAGAGTTATCAGAAATCAGTTTTCAATCAATTTTAGGTACTTTCTATCTTCTAAGGGATTTTTTTTTTGGTAAACTCTAAGGTAATTGTCACGTATGGTAGATTTCTGAATTTTTTCTTCCAAAAATATGATTTTTTCGAGATTTTATTTTGTGAGCAAAATTTAACCAAGAATACCATCCAGAGGGGTGGTATTCTTGGATTCTAAGGAAAATGAAAATTTTGACACATTCTCAATAATATTTTACAATCAATCAAATATAACATCAGAAAAATTAATCCAAAATTTTTGAGATTATTTTTTCCTACCAAATATTTATTTTTGTAACATTTCCGAGAAAGTCAATTTTCTACAATATTCTTGGGAATTGTAATTCCCGAAGGAAATTTTTTTTTTCCTCTACCAAATGTCCCCTTAGTGAATTAGTAAACTGCTCCTATGGGCTATCGAGACGGATGTTCATACAGAGCCATTTGGCCGGTTTAGAATAATTTATTTATGATTTTTCGAAAAAAAAACCCATTTTTTTTTATTAAAATATGATTTCCATATTTTATTTAATGTTCACTGATGCAAGCACATGGACAGAAGATGGACCAAAGTGATCTTTTGGAAGATCAAGCTGCTAACATTAACATAACACTTAGGTTTTTTTACATTAGCATGACAGTTACATTAATAGAAAGTTATAAAAAACTTTTCTTCGTTTTTCAAATATGTAAGCCAATTGGTGACAATCCATTGCAACAAGCACTGCCGCACTCGCATTGACTCGTGAGAAGGGGAAATTTGAAGAGAATAACAGACATTGCAGAAATTAGCAACAATTTATAATATAAAATAAGACTTTAATGTTTCTATAATAAAGATAGATTAAATTACCTGCGTTCTCTTTCAAAACGACATCATTTTGAGTTAAAAATTAAAAAATTATAATGATAAAGACTATTATAACCTAGAATATATTATAATTACAAAAATATTTTGATTTCCGTCCCAAAACGACATCATTTTAGACTCAATGGAGATAACTTATTTTCATTCACTGCAGAAAAACTAAACTCATAAAATAATTCATAAACTTGTAGATGCCTCTCAAATGGAATTTTTTTTTTCCAGTATTACGGATGTATCGACCATTCGGTACATCTTTTATTAAATATGAAAAAAGTAACATATTTACACTATCCTTACCCTTACCTTTGTGGTTATTTTCTTTCATATTCCTAATTTATTCTTTTTTGGTAAGGGAATACATACTCTTGTTGTACGGAAAATACACTCCTCAAATGGACTATTTTGTGTTACAAGTGTACAATGTCATCGTCTTAATTTAAACTATTTAACTGAATGCATAAATTTGCAAATTACTCAAACTCATATTCATTAATCTACTCCTAATGACTTTCATTGAGATTGATTCTACCAACAGAGCTCCTGAAACTTGAAAGCATATAATATGCACGATAGTTGATCGAATGATACATTGTAATCTGGGTCAAATAATTATTGCGCTAGATTATATATGGTTGAGCCTGCGATGTTTGAGTATGGACCTTGGCTGGAATATTGCCACGAGATGTCTAGCTAACTAGCGGATGTTTCGCGAAATGTTTGGGCTGGGGCATATGATTTGAGGTAGTTTAAGGAGACCTAAGGGTGGTAATCATAAGGCATCCCAATATTCAAGTTAGTAAGTATTCAAAAGGTCAAGTATTTATAGAAAGATGATCATACATGGACTTAATAGCTGCCTTTGTATGATGATATTCATTCTTATTGCTGGACTAAGATAGTCTTCGCAAACTATCCCACTCATAGGATGCCTATAGACAGACTAAGTCTAGTAGATATGCGAGACGATTGTGTTTCCTTACTTATTAAGGATTAGTCTTTGGGTCTTATGAGCCTTTAACTAGTTGGGCCTATAATCTTGCGTGGATTAAATTCAGATCATCAACTATAAAGCGTATAAGAATTTTTATTTCTTTTATTTTGGATCGTATATTAGAGATGTGCTCAAGCACTTGGGTACGGAGAAGAATAAATGACATACTGGATTATAGTAGAATTTTAAAGTAATAGTTAGATGGAATTGAATAGGAGCAAACTGGAATAGTGATGAAGCTGTTCTTTCATGACTGAAAGGCTATGAGTTCAAATACAAGAAACAACTTTTTTGCAATTATGCAAGAGTAACGCTGCGTATAAGGATTGTCTCCATCCACATTCGCTAGTTGGGTTTAATGAAAAGTATTATTATTATTTTTTTAAGTTAGATGGAATTTTTTATTAAGGATTATTCACACATATCCAAGAATCAATAAGTTGGCGACATTATTATGCATTTTTTTTTTTGATAAATTATCGTTGACTCTAATACATTTTTTCGTATTATTGAACTTCCAACAACATCATTACATCAAAGTTTTAAAAAATTGAGGTGGTATATAAGTTAGTCCGCAAAACGTGAATTATTTCAATAGTTAAACTTTAATTTAAGGGAAATAATACTCTCATGCCACATGAGATTACATTATTTTCCTACACAAATTCGTTTTCCGTGCCAATTAATTTTTTTTTTCTTTTTTAATATAAAATATGGGACCCACATTTAACTTCTCTCTACTTTTTTTCTCTCCTACAATCCTATAACATAAGAAAACTTAAACCCTTAATTTAATCTTGTTTTCTTTGAACGGCATGCTAATGAATATATTTAATTTTTGTTTACTAATATTTTGACTTGTTTTAAATGGTACTAACTGAAATAGCCGTAGAAAAGAAACATTTATTCTTCGAAAGTTTTTGAGACAAGTACTAAAGAAAAATTTGTTATCGAATATCTTTTCCAGCAGCTTAAATTAGGTTATAGGTTTTTTTTTAGGGAAAAAATATTGTAACAACCAAGTTGAATAATTATCATGTTATTATCAGTCAATTTCACCGTTAGATCGATTATGTGGATCAAATGATTATATTTATTTCTATATTTGTATGGTTATGATTCCCCATATTTAGAGTGAAAGTATTAAATATGAGAAATCATAACCATACAAATGTGGAAATAAATATAAAATATTAAATTTGAGAAATCATGACCATACAAATATGAAAGTAAATATAACCGTTGGATCCACAAAATCGATCTAACGGTGAGATTGATGGGTAGTAATTTAGTAATAACTTGATAGTAACACAACTTGGTTGTTACAATATCATTCTCTTTTTTTTAATAGCTTTACTCTTCCTCAAACCTTACAAAAACAAATTATTAGAAATGCAAATAATACAGTATATGACTTTCTCTCTCTCTTTTTCATTATTTTTTTTATTTGGAAAAAGTTCACCAATGCCCCTGTGGTTTGTTTCAGAATCACCTATGCCCCTGTGATATTTTTTCTATCACATATGCCCTTGTGGTTTGCAAAAGGGTATATTTTTTATCACATATGTCCCCGTGGTTTTTTATTTTTTACGAAGCACAGGGGCATATGTGATATAAAAAAAAACCACAGGGGACATAGGTGATTCTGAAGTAAACTACAGGAGCATTGATGAACTTTTCCCTTTTTATTTCACTGTCTCCAAAATATAAAGTAGATCAAGGTTACCGTTATGAACCGGTGGGCTGCCTGCTTATTGGGCCATCTAGTAGGCCCAATCCGTTACTCACCACGCCAAAGGATTCAAATTTCCTTTACATCTGTATTCAGTATTCAGTAGAACCCATAGGCGCTGAAAGTCATTTGATTTCCGCGAAAAATAACGGTCACTGAATTGAGCTCTGTTTTCAAAATGTCTTTCTCTCTCAACAAAGCGTGTAAGAAGAGAAAAAGATGTCCCAAGATTTTCAGGTTTCACTCTTTCGCTGACCCTGGTTGCCCCATCACACCCTCTGGTCCATTCCGAGACAACGTTCGCTTCTTTCTTCAAGAAGCCGGAGAACTCGAAGATTACAAGGTCTTTGGCAACCCAATATGGCGCACCCTTCTCATCCATGACAAGACTAAGCCAATGGTTCCTCTCTACACCATCGAAGAGGACGTTAACCAGTCTTCCCATCCCTTCTGCGATCGTTGCCGCTCTCTAGGTACTTACCTTTACAAGTTCCAATCCTTACCTCTTGGGGTTGGTTTAATTGATGATTCTTGAACTGGGTCGGTTCGATTTTGCAGGAATTTTGATTTATTTGCTTGAATTCTTCGTCTTTATTTTGTTCGAGTCTTGAATTGAATAGGGTTCTTTTTTCTTTCTTTCTTTCTTTCTTTGACGTCCGTTGTCATCATTGTGATCAATATCCCTCTCTGAATAGGGTCTTTCTTTTGATAATGAAGTTGATATGGGTTTAGGGTTTTTTTTTAGGGTTTTTTTTTTTATTCTGAAAAGTTATGAAAAGGGTTTGGACCAACCCACAACTAGCACACAGCCCAGACCCAAACGTCTTCAAGATTAGACAACTTAAGGCCCAGCTCACCTAACATGACTCCTCCGACAGCGTATTTGAATTATTTATTACTTTAGGATGGTTTCTCTTATCTTAACAATTATCATCATGTTATTAGATTCAGCAAGTTTGTTTATTTTATCACTTTAAAGTTTATCGCTTTTTATGGAATAAGAATTTTTTTCTGATTTCACCTCCCAATTATCTCTCTCTTCCTTTTCATTTTCATCTTTTCTATGTACATATGGTTTTTGTAATTATGATTTAGTTCTCTCTTTTAATTAGAAAATAGAAATTAGAAACTGAAAGGGGTTACTATTGATATACTGATAGTGTGATGACATGATACTAATATGTGGATTTTTTTGGTTTATGATTGGTAGGTTGGGGCGGCCATTTTGTTACAAAGAGAAGGTACCATTTCATCATCCCGATGGACAACTGGTGGCATAAATCCTTAAGTGAAGGTGCTCTTGACAGTCAGAATCATCATCTCTTGCATGGGGTTATTCACTGCAATGGATACGGGCATTTGCTTTGTATTAATGGCGTAGAAGGGGGTTCTAAGGTTCTCAGTGGGAGAGAGATCGTGGATCTCTGGGACAGGATCTGCATCAATCTTCGAGCAAGGAAAATTGGAGTGGAAGATGCTTCATATAAGAGGTCTATGGATCTTCGTTTACTTCATGGAGTTGCTTATGGGCACTCTTGGTTTGGTAGGTGGGGCTATAGATTTTGCCGTGGAAGCTTCGGTGTAACTGAGCAAAAATACTATGAAGCAATTGAGGCTCTTGCTACTTTGGAGCTTGAAAAGATTGTAAAAGATTTCAGCAAGACAAATTGCTTACTTCATAAAGAAATCAAACAAATGATTCGCTACTACAGAGATATGAGTGAAGCTCAGATTATCACAATCAGAGATCTTCTCAGGTTTATGCTTACTGTCAGGTCTCGTTCTCGTGCTCCTGTGTCCAAGATAACAGACATTTCTTCTGCTGCTGCTCCTCCCATGAAGGAAAAATCTGCTGCTAGGTATAAGAAGTTCAGCTGTGCAGTGACTTGTATGGATAGCAGGTGGCCAACACGGAGACTAGAGTTTGCAGCTCAAGTGATTGTGGATGCACTTAAAGAGAACAAGGCTGCCAAATCAGGTTCTTGTGGGATGACAAGACAAGAGGTGAGAGATGCAGCTCGGCTCCATATTGGTGATACAGGCTTACTGGATTATGTGCTGAAATCACTTAACAATGTGATTGTTGGAAATTTTGTTGTTCGTCGCAAGGTGAACCCGTCAACTCATATCCTGGAATATACTATTCATGAGCTTGGCAATGAGTTCAAAGCCCTGGAGCCTCCTGGGGTAATGGCTGTTGTAGAATCATCTTGGGTTCCTGGTAATGATGTCTACAACGATGTGTTTTATTTGTACAAAAATGTACTTTTAGGCTACCCTGATTCAGAACCAATGGACTTGGTAGCTCAGACAATTCTTGACAGCAGGCATTTCGTGAAGGAGTGGGCTTTAAGGGATGAAATGGGGCAGCATGTATTGAAATTCATTTGCCACTTGAAGGGAAATTTTATGGACACTAAGTCTGAGTTGGGCGAGATTGTTATGGTTCCACTGCATGCAACAGTCGGAGACTTGAAGCTAGCTGCTGAGGCTGCTCTGAGGGATACATACTGCATTGCAGAAGGACTTATAGTGACCGAAATTGCAGAATTGATGGATGTAGGTGATGAGGAAGTCCTTTTTGGACTAATCCAGTCTGGTATGGAACTTTCTGTAAGGGGTATTGCCATAGATTTGTGCACTCCATTGAAGTATCAGAGAGGGGCTGGCAATTGGAAGGTGAGGTGTGAATGTGGTGCTTGTGACGATGATGGGGAGAGAATGGTGGCTTGTGACATATGTGAAGTGTGGCAGCATACACGCTGCTGTGGCATCCATGACTCAGAGACAGTGCCACCACTGTTTATGTGCTCTAGCTGTTGTGATTCGCTCGTACCCCCAAGGATTGAATCCGGCTTCAGTGTGGATTGTGTTGATGATTTTCTGATTCCAACAGAGCCTACCCACTTACTGGAATATGAGTATGATTACTGAATACTTGAATGCTATTGCAACAGTCTTTATTGCTTAGAAAACTTGTTTCTGTTCTCATTTCATCTGTGTATAAACTTGTTTCTGTTCTCATTTTGTCTGTGTATTTTCATTTAGCTTGTTAACATACCTTTTGAAGCAGTTCATTTTTTTGTAGTGATTTGTAACTTGTAACATTCCAAATTTTTTGGGGGTGATTTGAAACCTTCAATAGGAAAAAGAATAAGAAAATGGATGGATTAGTACTTCAATCTTGTTATGGAAGCCTTTTTTAATTGACCTTAAAAGGATGAACATGTCAATTGACTTCCCACACACATGTACACGTACGTATACAAAAATGCACCTCTCCACTTTTTCATTCTGTTTTCCTTTTTATTTTTTATTTTTAAGGACCAGAAGCACCTCCGAATCAAAGATGCTTTGATACCAAATTGACGAAACCCAAAAAATAAATAAATAAGATTGTCTTTTTGAAATGGTTTTAAGGATCTCTCAAACATGGACAAGCACCTTAAACCAATTCTGAGTGACTTGTAGGCTCTCAGCAAGCCATTTTGAAAAGGATATTTGTATGGTGTGTCTGATTATGTGTAGAGGCTGAGAGCTATCACTGAAGCTATTCGTTTTACTTGATTCTTTTTTCTTTTCAATCATTATTTCCTATTTGTCTTTATGATTGTATTACTGTATAACTTTCCACTCGGTGCAATTAGCATATACCAATGCTTCATGTATAATGTAGCTTAACTACAAGCTTTAACAAAGTTAACATAATTTGATATTGTTTGTCATATTTATTTGTTAGTACTAGATGAAATAGTTCTATATCTTAGTTCCATGCAACAGTTTAAATATCATTGTAAAAATTAAATAGAAAAAGAAGGCAGACAGTCATTTCATATATCTAACAGAAAATGTTAATTTTTGTTATTTTGCATTTGGTTTTTTCTATGTTGTTCTAATGCTTTTTAAACTCCGTCTATTGAGTGCCATAAAATAGTTCAGTTTGTACGTGATAGGTACAAGAGATTTTAGAAATTAAAAAGAAAACAACAGAATTGTATTAATAGTGTTTCTTTCTAGAAAACCCAGATTACAGCATCATATAACAGTATAATGAAGAAAATAATAACTACCGACAATTAGAGAAGCCAGCTTTCAAATTTTACTCACCAAATACCATTTTCTGCCCCACCCTTTCCCTCTTTATACTGTCACTACCTAACAGAATTTCCCTCCAATTCCCCAATCCTTGTCACAGCTGGACAGCATAAAGTCTTCTCTCATAATTGACTCTTTCCTCTAGAGTTGTATCAGTGCCCGAGAACTTCTGACAAATTTTAAGATTGACCTGTCTCTAGTTAAAAAAATGAAGACTTCTGACAACTGCACTTCTGTAGATATAGTATCCAGCAATTTTAAGTTTAGCCTTTTACACACTTTACTTTTGTAAGTCCTATTTTCAGTTTATGACTCTCCTGATGGGGAGAGGCTCCTTCTGAATCATTAAGGTCTGAAGACCTTAAACTATTAGAATAACACCCAGTCTTAGATTTATTTGACTTAAAAATTCTGAGATGTTAGCCTTTAGCTAATTGCATCTAGGCTTGTTCACTATCGAGCCTGGGTCATTTGTAGATGGTTTAAATGCACTGCTCATCATATAAACAATTTTTTCCTCTTCTTACATAGAACTTCAATTTGGGTGACTAGAATTGGTGCCATGTAATGTAGGTGCTTTTTCCCATTCATAAGAAATTAATTTTTTATTAAAATCTACTGTCTAATTTTAGGTAGAATTCGAGTTCGTTTATATGCGTGGACTGTCAGTCAGTGTGGAGTTCGATGATTTTGAAGATGCTCCTCAAATTGATAATTGGGACAAAGTCTCTTATATCAATCGACCTGTTGATATTCATAAGGAGGATGGTAAGTCGTGTCTCGTAGAGATTCCTTCATTGGAACCTTTAAATTGATTATCTTACATGTTTGTGTAATGTTTTTTCTTTTATGGGAAGTTGCATAGGTTAAAGAGGATAGTCATCCGTGTTGTCAATGGTGTATGGTGGCCAATGGCTGCAGGCCAATAATTAGCCATAGCTTTATGAAGGATGAATGGGGTAAGAAAGGCAGACATGTCAGAAAAAATAATAGTTTAATAAACACAGAAAATAAATAAGACCTACTAGTTTAGATCAAGAGAAATTTTATTTTTTATTTTTTTAAGAAAAATAACTTGTCAGAAAGGACAAGTTAACAACAGTGTCACAAACTCAAACATGATTGAACTAAAATGGATAAAAAAGCACATGGCCGGTGATCAGCCCAGTTCCTGTGTCCCCAATGATTGAGGAGAAAAAAATCTTTAGAATACAGATATTTGAGTTAGGTAGGAGTAAAAAAAAAATTGAGAGATGTGTAGCAGAAAATTGAACTGAAGAGTAATCAGATGAAACATAAAATAATATAGGATATACTCTGTTGGAAAGCACAGATAGAATATGGAAAAAGGGAAGCATCCAATAAGTATACTACCAAGAGTAATTAGATGAATAAGTATACCATGAGGCATGAGCAACTCGCCATACCTGGATGTTGTCATGGTGGTAGCCAAGGAAGCACGGACACTCCAAAAAACAGGGATTGTCGTGTCCGACACGCGGTCAACATTTCCGACACGTGAATTTGACTGTATCCGACACGTCCCGACACGGTCAAATGACATTTTCGTAAAAAAAATCATTTTTTTTTAAAATTGAAATATATTAATAAAGCTTCCGCCTGATCATATCAATTTTATTTTATTTTTGCCTTTTTTTCCTTTAAGTAGATAAGAGATCATCTCAGCATCATTGTTGTCAATTCCTATTACGCTCTTGCTGTATCTCCTTCTCTCTGATCTCTTTATCTGATATTATCTCTCTCTCTCATCGCAATTCCTGTTTTTTTTTTATTAAAGCTTCCACCTTTATAACGTGTTGATGGGTATTATTAATTTAGTTTTATTTTTTTGTTAAATTATTGAATTTTAAATGAAATATACGCTATATAAATTAAAAATATTATTTAATATTAAAACGTGTCCCAACATGTCGAAATTCATATTTTTTTAGAATTGACGTGTCAGAGTGTCGTGTTGTGTCACGTGTCGCCATGTCGTATCGGTGCTACATAGGTGGTAGCACCAAAACCTGCCATGCCATGCAGCCATGATGATGACCACCATTTACAACACATTTATCGTAAATTATAATTACCCTATCTGACTGTTCTCATTGTCAGTGAGAAAAAAATTATGTTAGTAATAGTTGATAGATCTTAAATATTTCTTTCTGGGGAATTTTTTTTACATGATATATGCAGTAGGACAATTTATTTTTTGCTAAAAGATTGAAGGGCGTTTTTGCATTTATATTTTCTTTTTCTTTCTTTGTTCTATGTTCTCTTGTTTTAGAGGATATGCTGCCCTTGTGCTATTTTCTTCAATCTCTTTAATAGTTCTTTTTTATAATATGGTGAAACAAAGATACGTGGAGTTATGTGGTCACTGACTCACTCTTCTCATAGTGTGTCTGTTCACATTACTTTGTGCTTTCTATTTTGATTGAGTTCAGCTGTGTATCTTGACCCCAGAAATATAATTTTACTTTTTCTGTTTTATGCTCTTTCCACCAGATTATGTGGGCAATGCTTATGTGGTTATAAGCAGGAAAAGAGGGTGAGGAAGGGGCATGGGCAAAGTAAGGAATATTGGGGGAACTCTACAAGATAGGTAGTTTCTTGTAGAAGGAGCAGTAGGGTAAATCTGTTCTGGGTCTTTCTTTATTTGTATTCTGTTTTCTAGAGTCCAAAACCTGAGTCATGGAATCTGTAATTCCTTGATGTTGCTGTTGATAGTTGTTTGTCACATTGAATTGGTTGAATATTGAAGGGGCTGTCTTCCCAATTGTGATTAAATTCAATAGTTGATTTTATTTCTCTTAAATTGGTACCATCAAGGCATCAACTACCAAAATAACTCATGATTTACTAAAATCTAATGATTATTTTCAAATGTCCAAGTAGCAGCAGAACTTCTGAAGCATTTGTCGTGGTCTCTAGGTGATTAATGCATTACACCCATGTTCACTGCCAGAGGCTACATAAGGGAAACCATAAAATGAACCTGCATTAAAGTGAATTAATATTGGGAGAATTGCTCATTTTGAAAATACATTACGAATAATTTGCTTCATTGTGAGCATTGGCTCTTAATTTGGTGTATTGTTACAGAAGTCAGCTCCACTTTAGAGGGAAAATGTGAGTGTGCACTGAAATCTTCATGTCATATGATACTATTATCCTTTGCTCATCAACATCAGAAACGCCACAGCCTTCTATTCCTATGCTGCATGTCATCACATCCAATTATGATAATCTAATTAACATTAAAGCTTCCTCCATGATTTTAGTTATTTACATTTTTATTACATGACTTGCATATTATTGATAAATGATTTCTGTTTCTTTATATTGTTTTTGGTGGGGATGGGGGGTTAAATAAAGGGTTTTATACTTCTTATGCAAACCTAATGGTAAAGATGCATTGGTTGAATTGCTACTCCCCTGTCTTTTGCTTAAATTGCTTGCAAGTAATATAAATTATTATTTATTTATTCTTAGCATCATCTATTGCGTGCAGGTTAATACTTCAGCTTAAATGATGCAGTAAAAAGACTAGTGCTTGAGTTTTTTCCTGGAAGTTCCTCTGTTGATGAAGGAGATGCTGGCATCAACCAAAGTGCAGAAGAGGGAGAAAATTCATGTGATGGTTCATCTTGTCACCGGTGCACTGGAGATTGCTGAAATCAAGTTTGTATGCATTCAAGGGATAGAACCAATTTTGGAGATACCTTTTTCTTGGGTGGTTAACAACTTAATGAATCATGAGTATTATCTTCACATGAGTGTTTGCTTGAAATTTTCAGAGCTCAATGCTGTGCAATAGATACAAATTTGATTTTGTTGGGCATATATTTACCCAGAACCTCAAAAGATATGCAATTCTTTTGTCCATAAATGTACAGAACGATTTCATATTGTATTCATTTCAAAATTCGTTGGCTATTTTCTTCCCCCTTAAATCCAATCAATGCACTGTTTCCCCGCTCAAGGTGGCAATATTTCACTTGTGAACTTTCTTTGTCACTGAATTGGTTGAAGACTCTGCAAAATTTGGGTTTATTGTCTAATTGTTCTGTAAATAAGCGAATGATGTCTTTATTTTTTGAAGTGCTAATTAATTAGGAAAACTAGTTTCAGAAGTATTTTTTTTTTCCTGGTTTCCCAACGGACTTATTGGAAATCCAATTAGTGCAACATAATTTTTTTTTTTTTTTGTAAATTGCAACATAATTTTTTAGTACAAGAGTTACACCGACACAAAAGAAAGGGATTGGATTGTTGATTTTATAGAGAGGAGGAGAGTAATGAATTTAGAATGGTGGGAATTTACGTCATTATATGTGATAGTTTGTGATTATGTGAGACAAAAACCTATCTAGCACCGATATGACACGACAATCTGACACGTCAATCTTAAAAAATTATGGATTTTGACACGTTGGGACACGTTTTAATATTAAATAATATTTTTAATTTATATAGTGTATATTTCATTTAATATTTAATAATTTAACAAAAAAAATGAAACTAAATTAATAATACCCATCAACACGTTATAAAGATGGAAGCTTTAATAAAAAAAATAAAAACTGGGATGAGAGAGAGATATAATATCAGATAGAGAGTTCAAATCATATGAGAGAGATCATAGACAAGGAGATACAACAAGAGCGTGATAGGAATCGACCACAATGATGCTGAGATGATCTCTTATCTACTTAAGGGGAAAAAAGACAAAAAAATAAAATTGATATGATCAGGTGGAAGCTTTATTAATATATTTTAATTTTAAAAAAAAATTAAAAAAAAATTACGAAAATGTCATTTGACCGTGTCGGACACAGTCAAATTCGCGTGTCGGAATGGTCAACATGTCGGAAAAAGTTGACTGCGTGTCCAACACTGTGTCGAAGCGTGTCGTCGTGTCGGATACGATTCTCCCTATTTTTACAAGTGTCGCTTCCTTGACAAAAACTAGTGTTTGGGTTTAAAATGCTTCTCAGATGTTTGAGGTTGGCCTTATATTCTTGGCAAGGCATATCAAATGTTACAAATGTCACTACTGTTTGGCTTATGATTTATGGCTTATGTCGCTTCCTTTGTTACAAATGTCACTATTTTTACAAGTTTTCCACATAGTTCACATAACATGCGTTGTCTCCATTCATTTCTGATTTCTCTCTCGCTCGCTTTTCATTTTATTCATTAATACCAATGGTGAACCATCCATTACTCGACGTTTTCATTTTTATGCTGTGTTGATTTAACAGCACTGTTTGATTGTGGGCGACAAGAAGAATTTCAGTGGTCTCGGACCATCATTTATTCAGTGGTACAGACCAATCAAAATCATATAACTAACTAGAAAAGAGGAGAGAAAAAAAATAAAATAATAACTTTTTGTCCAAATATCATCTCTTGAATGAAAGGACAACATGAGATCTTCAGGCATAAAAAAAAAATTCCGTGGGGGACAGAAAGGCATCATTGTTAAGCTGCATTTAAAATTTACTAGTAATAAATAGCACAGCCCTACTATCCATTGCAATTAAAATTGATGTTGATGTACAAAGCAAATGCATGGAAATTTCAATATTAACTTGTACATATGCTCATGCCCAAGCCAGATTCTGGACTGACTTCATTGACAAAAAGGTGGGATGCATCATTCTTATTGTCTGGAACCTACCCTATACCAAAATTTGTTTTCTCATATTTTTGCACCAAGTACTTTTCTTTCAAATCTAAACAAGTTTTGTTACCCCGTAGGCCCTTACCCTATTTTGTGTTGAAATTAATCAATGCTCAATATCTTTATTCAATGTGCTTTATAGATCTGGTTCTTTTGAAGTATAAAGTATACTTAGATAGTAAATAACAGTTCATATAAGGAAGTTTCTCACATATATCATTTCTTATTTATATTGCTTATATTTTAGGGCGTTTGGTAGTAGAATTTTTTTTTTATCCGAGAATCACGATTTCTAGAAATATGGTAGAAAGATGAGTTTTCGGAGAATGTTACCAAAAAATTGTTTAGTAAGCCAGAATATTCCGGAAAATGTTGGGTTAATTTTCCTAATGCTATGTTTGGTCGAATGTAGTGCCAATTTTTTTGTGTTAAATTTTCCTTTGTTATGAGAATCCTAGAATACCACCCCATGTGTGGTATTCTTGGATGATATTTTCAGAAATTTTACGCACAAAATAAAATTCTGAAAAAATCAAATTTTCAGAAAAAAAAAATTAGAAATCTCATATCAAATGTGAGTAAATAGAATTACCACCCTCAGTTTCCCGAAAATCCTAAAAAAAACCTTCTACCAACTGCCCCCTTAAGAAATTTCTTTTTAACAAAAGGAGGAAGAAAAAAAATGAAAAATGAAGGAAAAAACTTAATTTTGTTTCCGAAGTGAATAAGTAAATATATTTAATTTAATTTACAACACAACATGAGTTTAACCACTAAACGATTTAAAGGCAGATACAACTTCAATTTATAATAGCCCTAACCTAATTAAATAGCGAATTACATGTAATTAAATAATTAAGCATGTTTTAGTGAGTAAAATTAAGTATAACGCTTAATTAAATGAATCTGAGTCACTTGGAGTTAAAAAGTGTACTCAGTGAAAATTAAGGGGTATAATTGGGTGTAGGCAAAAGTACCAAAAATATAAAAATAAAAGTAAAAATATTCCTAGAATAATATTCCAGACTTTTGGGTGGAGTTTGGTAATTATTGGAGTTAAATAGATAGACGAACCAATACCCGCCTAAAGTCACTTAACCTATGTTAAGTGACTAAAGAACAAAAAAGAACCCCAAAACCCCCAGAAACCCGTCGACGCCAGAAAGAAGAAGAAGAAGGAAGAGAAGAAGAGGTAAGAGAGGGAGCCAACTCCAAAAAAGAGAGGGAGCCGCACTCCGGATTAGTCCCATAGCCGGCTCAAAGAGTCGAAGCTCGTGGGGATACCGGAGGGAGCCAACTCGCCTCAAAGAGGTAATTAGGGTTGGGTAACTCCAAAAAAAAGGAAGAGAAGAAGAGGAAAGAGAGGAAAAGAGAGAGAGAAACCCTAGGGAGAGCAATCCTCCACCAATTGGAGTGATTCAAAAGCCTAAACCACTCTAAATCTTTCCCTCTTTCATAATCCTAGCTTAGTTTTGAGTGGGGAGCATTGTGGAGAGAGATATTGCCTCTCAAAAATTCGGCCTTTTGGTGAAATTTGGGGTTTTAAGTGCTTCAACCTCCATTGAAGCTTGAGGAGCCATCAATCCTTGGTTATGCAACCGTTGGTGGTAAGATTCTACCCCTTGAACCTCATGATTCCTTGAAATTGCATGAGTTAGGGTTTATGAATAGTGTTTTAGGGTTTTGATGAAATGTTGTTAAATTAGCTATGTTCTAGGAAGAATGGAGCTTAGAGCATGTTGTGAAAAATGCTAGGAACGACATTTAATCGGTGAAAATGAGCTTAGATAGCTAAATGAGTATATTTGGAAAATGGCAAGAATATGACACTTAGATATTGGATTTCTTGCATTGTTAATGAATGGTTTGACTTGGTTGATTGATGATTGCGTCCTTGTGATGTCTAGGATTGAGACATTTGGACCAACCGTGAGTGATCAACCATTGGAGCAAGCTATGGAGCTTGATTAACTCTTTGGAATAGGTGAGCTCATGCTACTAAGTTAATATGTAGAGTTGATGTGGTAGTAATGGATATAAGTAAATATTCATTGGATAGTATGATTGATGCTATGGCACCTTGGTGTAGGTGAGTTACTTGTAAGTTATTGTTGAAACCAAAGTTAATTGGTTGCTGAACTGTTGGTGGTGAACAAAGGTTGAACGGAAGCTTTGAGGTAAGCCTTCAGATCTTCGGTGTAATCTCCTTGACTGTTCTACCAAGCCCTGAAAGGGTAGAGGTTGTGATTGTGTATATAAATACAATAAAATAGTGTAATGCTTTGTTATACGTATGTGTATGCATTTGGTGTGGCATAGGATGGTGTTTCCCTATGTTGGTATGTTGCATGACGATGCGTAAATCATACTTGGTAGTTAGCTGGCCAGTAGGACTATTTGCATCTGAGTTTCCTTAGGACAACTTGAGAGCTCGAGGGATTTCTCCTGGAGATGTATTGCACTTTGCATAGATATGTATTTACTGCATTATTATTGTTATTGCTATTACACTGATATGGAACTGTGGGGTGGAGAGATGCTCCAAGGACCCCTGGTTTACTGGATATATTCGTATATCTCACCCCGTGTTGCGGGGACCCCCTTTCAGGTAAGAATGCTGCAGGAGCCTTTGGTGGCAAGTGGCCATATTTGGATTAGCACATGCATGAAGTGTTGCATTATTTTGATATCATACATGTTGTTTTGTAGCTCACATGTATAGGATTGTAACTCATAGACAATTGATAGATGTATGATTTGTATATTGGAATGGACTTAGCCTATGCTCATGCCTTTGATCATCTCTTTTGTTGATGGGAGCCAAGGGAATGATCATAGTGTTTTGTAAGCTAAGTTCCATGATTTGTAAAGAATATGTACTGTAAATGATGCCTACTTGAAATTCAATATATGCATGCTTGTTATGTTTTAGGTTATTGAATTGGTTGGGCTGAGAATCAATTAGGTACCTTTTGTTTAAATTGGGAAACGTTGTGAAAACAAAGGTTATGCTGCCCAAATTCTAGCTAAATCTCATGAGGAGAGGTTGGATGAGTGCTAGGATTAAGTTTTGAGACATGAACAACTGGGGTTTGGATTGGGGATACATTTTCCCCTAGACTGGGACTTGAAAAATGAGGGTAATGGAATTCCCTGGCAGCGCGCTTTAGCGCCCTGCTGCCCATGTGAGAGCCAATGCTTTCGGCCTCCTCGCGCTGGAGCGCCCAGGGTTGCGCGCTTGAGCGCCCTTGGCCGCTGATGGAGGAGATGCTTCTGCCTCTGCGCGCTAAAATGTCCCAAATGGGGGCTTAAGCGCCCAAGACAGCACGCTTGAGCGCCCTGGTGCGCGCTTAAGCGCCCATTTATACTGAAAGACCTGATGCTCCCTGCCTCCGTGCGCTTAAGCGCCCAGATGGAGGCTTTAGCGCCCGATAACGCGCGCTTGAGCGCCCGGTAGCGCGCGGGGCCTGTGATCAACACTCTCTTGTGTTGCTTCAAATTGTCATAACTTGGGCTACAATGCTCCAAATGAGGAGCGGTTTGAAGCCACGCGTAGCTAATGAAGAGATCTACAATGTAGTAGAAGTTGGGAAATAAATAAGAACATGATGTTAAGCTTGATTTATCTAATTCCGCAAAGTAATATGGTTATAATCACGCAATTGGATATTTTAAATTCGGCGTCGTTTTAAAAAGAAAAATTTATCCGGATTTTTAATTGAGCCAATGTGATTGTAACTGCGCTTAATATCATAATGCGATGTTAACAAACCGGTTTTAGAACGGGGTGTTACACAATTACTCTGAACACAAATTTGTTTCAGAAAAACTTTTGTTCAAAAATAAAAAAGTGTGCTACTCCTGCATCCTTAATCAAAAAGCAAATGTACTCAGTCTTCAACAGCACAAGCCATGTCTCCGGTATTGAATGGTAAAAAAAAAAAAAAAACCTTTACTAAACGGTTCCAATTATCGTATAAAGTGAACAAATAAGCATGTGTTTATTCTTGAACTTCAGTACGTTAAGATTATATGCACTTTAAATTAAATCAAGAGTGAATACATTGTTACTCACTTTAGAGACAAGTTCCCTTTTAAAAGAATTTTGTCCTATGACATTTGGATTGCTGTTAGCCAATGCCAACCACAGTAAAGAATATTTCAATCAAAATCAGGGAAATAGCAGCCAAAATTGATTTAGTTTTTATCAGTTCAAAAGCCTATAAATTTGTAAACGGTTCTATAAATTCAGCTAATCAGATAACAATTTAATAACAATCAATTGGTTATCCAAGTCACTTGAAGCAGTTAAAACTACTGTGAAATCCATTCCCTATCACAAAAGAATTGAAGCTTCTGCCATCTATTTGTACCTTCGTTCTGTCTACTACTACCAAGATAGAAGCAAACTTGATTTTCTTCCTATACTATCTTCATCCCAATCATCAAGCGTCATTTATTTCTGGATTCCCCTAATGAGAATGATATTGTCCCAACAACTAAAATCTTGAATATGTTCTAATAATCCAGTAGAGAGGACCATGTTGTAGAATATCATACTAGCCCATCTCCATGAAAGAACCAGGTTGAAATTTATTGTGTAATGCTTTTATAGCGGATTCAATGCGAGCTTGGTCCTGTAACAAAATAAAAAAGGCTGGTCTCTAGTGGTAGAACTTACATGTGACTTATCAAAACAAAGTTTAGAATATGGAATTTTCATTGTACCTTTCCTTTGAAACATACTATAAGAGATCCATATCTGGATTTGCGGAAACACCCTTGATGTTCCAAAGAAGAAACAGTTTTTTTATATTAAAAAAAAACATGAATAATGAGTCATTTACTACTAAAAATCACTAATTCATAAACTTCATACCAATGTGAAGGTCTGGAAATTCTAGGCAAAGCTTTGAAAGAGGTGGAGCAATTTCAACCTGCAGTATAAATATCCCAATATGAAAATGAGATTGAGGCTATAGAGGGGAAGAAAATTAAAGAGAGAAGATGGCACACAAACCCTTAAATACCACCTAGAGAAAGCATGGAAAGAAAGTTAGTTTCACACAATGCGTAGTGATTCTGCTGTCTGCTGGGGTTTTGATTTCAAAACTGCCATCAACTTTCCATGCTTTCTCTGGGTACCATTAAGGAGCATTTTAGAAAGTCTTTTGCTGTGAATTTTTATTTTATTTTTTTTGGATTTCATGACCCTAATAATCCCTTTGGGGCGAGTTCAGTCCTCCGGATATCCTCACAACCCGAGCGGGGAAAGGGGCCTGCACGGGTACGTGACTAATTTTGAGTCAAGCAACATTGCAAATATCCAGTTCTGGCCCCAAAGGTTTTCTCCGCGATTCGAACCCGTTCTCTTTTGGCAGTTCATTTGTCCTGTGGCTCATATTGCCACTTAAGCTAAACTTCACGATTTTTGAAGATATTTTTCAACTTCGATATGAATTGCATCGAAGATTTAAGGGGAAAAAAAAAAGGCCTTATCATTACATCAGACTGCTAGTCATGAAATATTTGAATCCAAGAAATTTTTAACCACTGTATACATCATTTATGCTTCTGATAACATTTTTTATTTCATGAAAGTCACAAATAAAATGAAGCATACTTGCATAAATACATAACGAGTCTACCATATAGAAATATACACAAAGCTTACTTGAATTCATTATAAGTAAAATTTAAGCAACAGAAAGCATCATATTATAAGTATATAAAAGCAAAAATCTTCAAGCTGAAGGGAATAAAATCATGCCCGGTGCACAATCAGTGATAGTGGCATTGGAAATTAAATTTAACACATACATCTGAAAGATTTGTTGTCACAAGCTTTGATACATATGGTTCCAGCAATGCAAGCAGGTCAATAGATCTTGTTAATTCAATCAAACAGTCCCACTGCTTTTCTAGCTCCAACACATTTGTTGCACTAAGAATTATTACATTTTGGCACTTGATCTGCACAAAAAAGACATGAGATATCAAACATTTAACCAAAATACCTCAATCACATAATATACAACACAGAAATTGGTCAAAACAAAAAAATACAAATCAAACTTGTATAAGTTGCTCCTCAATGTGAAATTGAACTTCTGGCAAAATGAAACATGGGGAAATATAATTTTGTTGCTGAACTCCCGACACATACCAAAGGTACGGACAACTTGTTATGATGCAATAATTCAGTTATGCCCTCTGGCAGTTGAGCCATCTGAAAGGTGAAAGACAAGATGGATAAATTTCATACTATAACTGTCATCAGTCATCACAGATAAGTATATTATAAATGGCGAAATTTAATCGGAGTGTGCAAATTGGCCTATTTCACAGATACAAAACGAAGAAGCACTGGAATCACCATATAATGATGCCTTCAGATCTTTTTATTGGGATATAGGATTATGCTTCTGATAAAAAATAAATTCAGCCCCCCTCCCCCCACCCCGGGAATACGATATAATAATCCAGTAATTAAATCAATTTTTTGGTATATTCCAACCAGATAAACAGGCCACAGGTACCTGTTCTACAAGGGTTGGACCTTGTTAAAAAGTTATGATCTTGCAAATTTTGTGTGTGAGAAAATGATTGTGTTGAGATATATAGTCCCACATTGGTTGTATGAGCAACTAATATGGAGTTTATAAGGTCTTGGACACTCCCACCCTTTGAGCTAGTTTTTGGGATGGTGTATCCCAAGGTTCTTTACATGGTATCAAAGTCTCGCCGCCCCCAACTTTCTCTTGTGGCGTTTCTTAGCACAGGTAGGCTGGGCCTGTTGCATTGTCCCCTCTTCAAGCCCAATGGGCTCTCGTGTGAGGGGGCGTGTTGAGATATATAGTCCCACATTGGTTGTATGAGCAACTAATGTGGCCTTTATAACGCTTTGGGCACTCCCACCCTTTGAGCTAGCTTTTGGGATGGTGACCTCAAGGTTCTTAACAAGGTATCAGAGCGTTCGAAATCTCACCGCCTCCCACTTTTTTTGTAGTGGAATTTCCACATGTAGGTGGGCTTATATGTTGTCCACCCTTCAAGCCCAGTGGGCTCACGTGTGAGGAGGCGTGTTGAGAAATATAGTCCCACATTGGTTGTATGGGCAACTAATGTGAGGTTTATACGGTCTTGGGCACTCCCACCCTTTGAGCTAGCTTTTGGGGTGGTGTATCCCAAGGTTCTTTACATGGTATCAGAGCCTCATTAGGCTGGGCCTGTTGCATTGTCCACTCTTCAAGCCCAATGGGCTCTCGTGTGAGGGGACGTGTTGAGATATATAGTCCCATATTGGTTGTATGTGCAACTAATGTGGAGTTTATAAGGTCTTGGGCACTCCCACCCTTTGAGCTAGCTTTTGGAATGGTGTATCCCAAGGTTCTTTACAAATTGTAATTGGAGCAGAGATAAAGTTGCTCTTGTGCGATTGAAAGATTATGGGTTAGAATACAGGAAACAAGGATAAGACTGCATAGAATGATTTCTCTCTCCTACCAATAAAACAGCTGTTCAATACTTTACAAGGTTACTGTAAAACTATATTTAAAAAAATATAATATTTCTCACCTCTCTCCTTCAATTTATTAGAATAATCAAATGGTTCTCTCTTAATCACAAGATTCACAACACCATGACTTATAATTAAAAGCAAAGATAAGTTAAATAACTTGCTATTCTACAAAATAACCTCATTCTGGTCACCAGTACAGTGATCACCAATAGTATGCCTGAGATATTCTTCAAATTCTTCATCAGGAGCCTACATCAGAAACGGATAGGAAACTGATATAAGTTACTGTTATAAAATCAAAAGTAATTAATGACGAAAGGTATGCCATATACAAACAGCCCAGGTATAAAGTAAGATTGATTGCAAAAGGGTTCAGTCAAAAGCAAAGCATTGACTTCAATGAGATCTTTTCTCCATTTGTGAAAATGTCATCCATTTGAGTGGTTTTAGGCTTAGCTGCTAGCCTAGACTTAGAGATTGAGAAAATGGATGTGAGGACAACTTTTCTCCATGGTAACTTGGAAGAGGTGATTTATATAGATCAGCCAGAGGGTTTCATAGTGAAAGGAAAAAAAGACTATGTTTGCAAACTGAAAAAAAGTCTTTATGGCTTGAAGTTGAAGCAAGCACTAAGGCAATGATATAAGAAATTTGAGTCTGTTATGGGGGAGTAAAACTACCAAAAGACTAATTTTGATCATTGTGTATTCTTCCAAAATATTTCTGACGATGATTTCATTATTTTGTTGCTCTATGTTGATTATTGGTAGAATTTTTTCTAGAATTGGAACATTGAAGAAGCAATTGAGTGAGTACTTCGCTATGAAGGATTTAGGGCCAGAAAAAAAAAAAATCTTGGCATTTGAATTCATCGAGAGAGAAATGAGAAAAAGTTGTACTTGTCACAGGAGTAATACATCAAGAAGGTTTTTGATAGATTCAGTATGAGCAATGGTAAAGTGGTTAGTACGCCTTTTGCTAACCACTTAAGTTAAGTGCTCAACATAGCCCTTCTAGTGAATAAGGAGAAGGAAGATATGGCTAGAGTGCCATGTGCCTCAGCAGTAGGAAGTTTGATGTATGCTATGGTTTAACACCAGACTAGACATAGCCCATGAAGTTGGCGTTGTTAGCAAGTTCCTTTCTAATCCAAAAAAGAAGCATTGGAAAACGGTTAAGTGGATTATGAGGTATCTTCATGGCACTTCCAATTTGAGTCTCAGATTTGGGAATGGCAAGCTGGAGCTTATTGGTTACACGGATTCAGATATGGCAGGTCATATGGATACTCGCAAGTCTACTTTGGGGTATATGGTTACATTTGCACGAGGTCCCGTTTCTTGGCAATCAAGATTACAAAAGTGCATTGCACTTTCTACATCAGAGGCAGAGTTCATTACAGCAACCGAAGCTTGTAAAGAGTTGCTATGGATGAAGAAATTTCTGAGAGAATTTGGTTTCACTCAAAAGAGATATGTCTTACTTTGTGACAACCAAAGTGCCATACACCTGGCCAAGAACTCTACCTTCTATCAAAGATCCAAACATATTGATGCAAGGTATCATTGGATAAGAGATGTGCTAGAAGCCAAAGAAGTAGAGTTTGAGAAAGTGCACACCAGTGACAATGATTCGGATATGATGACAAAGGCATCTCCTAGAGAGAAGTTTGAATTTTGTTGGCTTGTTGCCGACATGGGTTCCACTTGATGATTGATACTAAGTCAGTTAAGTCAGCAGAAGCTTGACTAAAGTCAAATTTCATCCTTCAAGAAAGTCGGTCATACTACTTAACAACCAATAAATATGTGCAGGTGGATGCGGCATATCTTGGAAACGGTTATAATAACATTAAAATGAATAAGACAACAATTGAATGAAGCAACTCACCAAACGAACACCAAAAGCTTTTGCAACACCTGCTAAGGTCACATCTGAATGCAGCGGACCTACACCTCCATATATAAATACCTACAAGAACAAGGATAAATGAATAACCTGAGCTATCATTTGTCAAGAAATGTAATGCAAAGGACCTTCTAAGCAAATTAGTATTTACCATATCACTTGTAGATTTCTGTCTCTCAACTTCTTCTGCCACGGAATCTATCTGTATTAAAGATGCATGTCATGAACCAAAAAATCGTAATATGAGGTGCGCAAAGCTTAAATAAGAGTTTGAATATGATTTGTTATCTGCTGGTTCATAACAGTTGATATACGCTCAGTTAGGATTTTTTCAGAAATGAACTCACATTGTTGTGGACAACAGAAAGTTGTAATAGAGACCAACCAATGGAATGAAGCTTCCTAGACAACGAAGGTCCCAACTGATCCTCAACAATGCCAAACCTGAGCTATGGAACAGAGGAAAGGAAAAGGGGAGCATCACCAAAAACAGTTGAGAATAGGACCATAGAATTAATCAAGTGCAGTGCACTTCACAGCATGACTTAATTGCTGAAATTAATCTCCATGTCATTTTCATTTAATTTATTCTGTCCGCAAATGATTACTGAAATTAATTTCCATGTCATTTATTTCACATTTTAATAAATAATTTTACAAAGTTATAAAAAAATTAATAAAAGAGGTAACTTGAACTTCCAACACACATATCACACAGGCTTATAAATAATAGTTTCAACATTATCTGTAAGGCTAAATATATCAAGATTCAATATATAATATGGATACTTTGATAGGAAATTGCAAATAAAGATGATATTAACACGAATAACTTAATGAAACTGCAAGTCATTCAGCATACAATCAGGAAGTTCAGAAATAGGATAAACCATTTCATATTGAGACTCCAAAGCTCGAAAACCGGGTAAATAATCCAAATGTTTAATAAGTTGTGAAACCTCCCAATGGTAAATTATAACGCAAAAGACATTAGTTCATAAAGGATGCAATTTCCAATATAGCCCACATAATCCAATTATCCAAGCGATAAACAAGGTACTTACAGAATCTCATCTCCCACAGCAATGACCGATGCTGTGAGCATACTGTTGTGCAAATCCAAGTTACTCAAGCCATTGTTATCAGCAGGAAGTTGACCACAAGTAGAAGATAACTTTTTAACCCTTCCTGCCCTCTCTAATCTTCCATCAGCAAGCAAATATGCAGGTTTGAATTTATTGGAAGAATTGCTAATGCATAATAATGAATTGGGAACCGTGTCATATATGCTCCCAATTGAAGTATAACTGCAGAAATATAGAAATAATCATACACCAGATTTCTTGAATGAACACAAGCAAGTAGAACTTAATGTGAACTATGAAGGACCAGTAATTAAATGTTGCATCAGAGATACCATTGAGGTTATTCGGTTGAGTTATTTTATTCTGATAAAAAAAAAAATGGGCATGCAAATATGTTCAATCCAAGTTAAGGTTCAGCAGATCTACAGAATATTACCCTTGATCATAAAGACTGCAATATTTCACCTTGCAAGTTAAAAGGAAGGCCCACACATCTCTGCCATAAAAAAGTATAAGCCTGTCAGACCATCAAATTTGTTCTAGATTGAAATTAAATGAAGCAATTTACATTATTAAATTTGAAAGGCATAACATAAACAATCATGGAAAGAAAAACAATGTATTTCCATAAACAATCATGGAAAGAAAAACAATGTATTTCCTATTAAGAGTGCAATCAAATTAACACGCCTAGTGAATGAAGGGAACCAAATAATTTCCGCAATTTATTTAGCTACTTTGTAAAGAGGAGGTGTGAACAATTGACAGAGTTTTAGGGGAACACGAATTTAAAATTGAAGAATGCAGTAAAAAAATTTACCCTTTGAAAAAATTCTGACTACTGAAATTATAAAAAAAAAAAAAAAAAAAAAAAGACAGAGCAAGTTTTAAAAACTAAAATAAATAAAAATTTAGTTGTGATGCATCAACCAGCTATCGTTTGGCTTTTACTAATGATTTCCAGTTTTCTCAGTCTATTCAATTACAAGGTTAAACAAATACGTAAGCCATAACTTTATGCATCTAAGGACAGGATTAAACCAGAAATGCAGCTATGGCATTTTTCAAAAGGATGTGTTTAGATAGATAATTTGTGGTTGAAAGGGGGGGCTAAGAAATATATTTGGAAATAGGGTTGCGGCACTGCTCACACAACTCATAATCATAGGTTTTTTACCTCTGCTAACTACTTTAGGGACAATTAGCATCTTGTCCAACAAATAGAACACGTAAATGTGAAATTTATTTATTATCATTGGAAGAGTTCTTGGATAAGTTAGCACCAATATTTATGTATTTAAAAGAGAACTATATTTCTTCAGATCTTTATCATTTTTCGCAGTTAACCTGGTCAGATAAAACTCTAAAATAAATAGAGCAGGCACCAGATATAACTTCAGGTTATGATTCATTTCAACAAAAAGTAGTATGGAGAAACAGATATAACAAAGAAGTGAACCTGTATGACCAATCTAAAATGGGATTCACTCTCATAAAAGGTGGCCACCCAGGTGAACTTGGGGAGAATTGTTCTTGGCCAACCTGCAAGGTTGGAGCATACGTGTATGAATAGAAGTATCCAATATTCCAATTTTCATTAAACAACATGCAGTTTGGAAGAAAATTCACCGTTAAAAGAAAGGTATCTCATTTTAATTTTCATAAAACAACATTGAGTTTGGAAGAATAGCAGGTCACAAAACATGTATTGTCAAAAAACAGTCATCTCATGGTTAAGAAACAAGGATACCGCGGTAGGATCCCCAATTCGAACTCCAAGGAAAATAGCTCGAATTGGCTTATCCTTCAGCAAAGCCTCCAAGCCGGACTTGAAATCTGAGCGAATAATGTCAATTTGCAAACCATAGCTGCTCAAGCAAGATAATTAGTTAGTTGCTGCATCCTTCAGTGAGAACAAGCCTCAAAGTTTAAAATTATAAAAGAATTCAGAAAGAAAGGAGGAAAAAACATTTTTCCACGTTATCTAAACTGTGGTGACAATGAAGAATTAATTTAAATGTAAAAAGGTGTAAGAATTTTCACTCACGTGGCAGCTGCATCATACGTAAATGAGTTGATCTCTGCAAAAGCACAAGGACTCTCAAAATATATTGTTCGAATAGGAAAATCTTTTAGATTCTCATTGGCACTATTATCCCCCCTTTTATGCAAGAAATAGCCAGCCCTGAGTAGGTGCAACAAAACCTACAAGCCAAAGCTCAATGTTGCCATCAATGACCTTGAAGATACATACAGATACTAAAAGATTACACTCTGTTAAAACTTACCGTTGAATCCTTTCCACCATTAAAACTGAAGGCAACCTCCTCAATACTGTAGGAAAGAAATACATTTAATACATTTTTCCATAGATTGTAAATTCTTCTATATCATTCTTTCCAATTTATTTTCCTTGACTTTCCCCCTTTCTTCAGTTAAAACAAAGGCAATTGAGTTTGAGAAAACTGATAATCAGTTCATAAACTAAGATGTATATACAATTTGCATTTATAATTAATACAGGCATGACAATTAGAGCAAATGAAACAACAAAAATACCCCAAAAAGTAGGGAAAATCACTTTGCTAAAGATCTATGATCTTCTGCAGTCACTTGTTGAGAAATAGTGCTCCTAGGAAACATCAAAAGTGGTTAAGTTGTCTATAATAGATTGCCACTCAAAAAACAATGACAAATAGCCGCTCATAATGTCTTTCTTCAAAAACCAACACATTAATCTCAGCATAAAAGCAGTTTCTATTTTTCAGCCAATAGCACCATTAGTATAACACAGTTGAGGACTCCAACAACTTAGACCTAGTGAAACTTCATTTACAGGCTTCCTCATTTACATCTTTGTTCCAAGGGAATTTTCTGCAGTTATCTTCAACAAATCCAAACATATCTGGAAGGCATTGTAAGGATCAGAGTAACCACACACACAATCAAAAAGTAGAAAAAGGAGAGAAGAGTACGAGACACGATTTACCTTGATCTAGGAAGTCTATCACCATATTCTCCTCACCGCACTCATTACAAGAACTCAACTACAAGAGAATATAAATAGGCTCAGAAAACCCTAAGCCGCAACAACTATTCATGGACTTAATCCCAAACTACTAAACAAAGGGAATTACAAAGAAACCCGAGGCCCAAAGTGTACAATGCCTTTATAAGCACGAGGGCGCTACCCCCTGCACCCCCCTTTGAGGCGACCATTGGCTTTATCTGTGTCAGGGGGACATGAGTCGTCGACTAGATGCAAAGTAAGAGTCATATTAAACAAGCATTGCCTTGCCTTTAAAGCAGCAAACATATTGTTTTGAACTGGTGGTTTGGGCCCTTTATGCAGCACAATACAACTCACTGGACAAAATGTCCCGATCACCGATATCCTCTTAATTCACCCATATAACAACCTCCATCGATCCTTGCATGGTGCACATCCAAGCAATATTCACCTGAAACCACTCACTCATCACACACTCCAGAATATTCTCTATAACCTCCTATATATGCAATACTCGCGCCCTAGGATATGGACCTTCAACCTTTTACTTTATTCGGCCTCTTGCGAACACTAGCTAGAGCATTAAAAACACAACCACCTTTTTTCCACCACACCACCCCATTTTCCACCCTAACACACGACAAGGCACCCACTTAAGCACCTTGACCAAACACAAAGAAACTAGATTCAATCAGTATCCGGTCATTCCATCTCAAACTGTAAAGTAATTGAACTTGTATGGGCCATAGGTGGCAGTTCAGGTCGACACGACTCGATACAATATGACATGAATTCGACACGAACACGACTTACTTATTTTGCGAGTTGACTCAACACGACATGAATAACCCGCAAACTTATAGTGTATCGCTTATTACGCGGGTTGACACGATACAACATGACATAAATAACTATCAAACACAAATTGTGTTAGTTATTATGTGAGTTGACACAACATGATAAGACACGAATAACCTATTTATGACACGACACAACACGAATGACCTGTAAGAAAATTAATACGGGTCAATTTCGGATATGCCGGTTGACACGCTACACAACACAAAATTTTTCTGGTCAGTTTTTGAAAATGGGTGGGCCCGAACACAAACGAATTTTTTGTATCGTGTTCGTGTCGTGCAAGCAGGTCGTGTTGAAAATTGCCACCCCCATATGGGGGTAGGAAGATTGAAGTATATCAATGTAACATTGACTCGGTAATGCAATAGTATGAACTATAACTCAGTGGAGGTCACTGTGAAGGTCCCGTCTCACGCAAGCTGAGAATCAAGGAGCAGGTGTTTGAACAAGGTTATGGCTAGTGAAGAGTGATTTCAGCTGAGTAACAACAAGGTGAGCAATGGTTAAGAAGATGATCTCTCACAGGATGAATGTAGTTATATATAGTGAATGGAAAGGTTAAGCATGAGAAGTGTGAGGCCATAACCGTTTTCAGCCTAGTGGGTCCTATTGACGTGTGAGGCTGTGTGACTCCTCACAGTCATGTATGCGTTGGAGTGAGCGGGAAATCAGGTGTAAATGGACCATTTGTCCTTTGATGAGTTATTGGGTTGAGCCTGCCAGACTGTCCAATCATTTGGGGCTGAACAAATATCATTCAAATAGATCTGTTGAGATATATAAAATCATTAATGTAGCCTCACCCAATAGCTTAAGCTTTTGGGTTGAATTCGTTCTTTACATGGTATCAGAGCCTTGTGTCCCGGGTTCAAACCTCGCTGTCCCCCACTTTCTCTTGTGGAATTTCTTAGCACAGGTAGGCTGAGCCTGTTGCATCATCCACTCTTCAAGCCCAATGGGCTCTTGTGTGAGGGGGCATATTGAGATATATAATCCCACATTGGTTGTATGAGTAACTAATGTGGAGTTTATGAAACTTTGGGCATTCCTACCCTTTGAGCTAGCTTTTGGGGTGGTGTATCCCAAGGTTCTTTACAAGATCCAACATAACATTCTTTTTCCTCCTCCAATTCACACAAAGCAACAGAAAACTGAAAAATGAATTCGATTCCACATGCATTAAAGATTCAAAGGAGTTCATGCAAAGGTTTAAGACAGCAAAATATCCCACAAAAGTAGATAAAGACCAACTTACGAATACAAAGCCAAAGCTCTCTGAATAACATAGACAGCATTGATGTACTTGGTCTGGAGTCTTCGATCGTCACACTCTCTAATTGCTTTGTCGATCTCCATGTTACCCTGGCACCCTGCACACACAAAAATATAAGAAGAATGAACAAAAATAAATAAATAAATGAATTTGAAACCATGTCAAATGGGGTATATAAAAATTGCAAATTTATGTCGTTTTCCACAAACCCAACCTGGGTTTCGTCAAAAAGATTTTGCTTTCGAATTGGAAAGGGTATTGTGATGTGAGCAAGGAATTATCTGTAGTGTACCTAAAAGTGAAGTGCATTAAATGAAGGATTGTTATATCATTCAGGAATAGCTGCTTGTGTGTTTGGCGAAGGTGAGCTGAATGGTTAACCTTTTTTTCATTTATTTTTTTCTTAAAATCAAATGAATCTGTAAGAGATAATCATAATTTAATTTGGAACAATAGTTGGATAAGAAATTTAATGGCACAGGTGGTTATCAGAGCAACAGAGACCATTTGATTATGAAAATATAAATAGTCCTATTTAATTATTTCATAAATGATAGATTTGATACTTTTTAATTATATTAAAAAAAAATTAAATTCTCTTTTGTTTTCTTTTTTAAAACAAATTCTCACCCAATCATGCACTAAGAATATTTGCCCCCCTAAACATGCACTAAGTTTTAGCATTAAAGAATATTCGTAAAGGATTCTCAACTATTTTGAGGATTTTCTTCTTTCACGGAAACGTTACTCTTTTTTCCCCCACGTAATTTCAGAATAATGAACTTGACGAAGAAAACTAAGAGAGATAAAAGAGAAATAATAATGATGATGATAATGTTACATATGGAGAAAATTGTGTGAAAATAGCATAACTCTTTCAGTGTTAATTTGATTTATTTAAGGGATTAATGTTTTTCATATTATAAGAGATAATTTTATTTCTTAATATACATAAAAAAGTGTGGATGCATTTTTTTTTTTTCTTCATGAATCCTACACACTTTTATGTGTGTAGATGATGAAATTATCTCCTCCACACTTTTAAACTAGAGATTTAAAAGTTTATACGATTTCGGCTTGGACATGGATGGAACCTCCTCTTTCACACTAAATTCAATATATAATCATTTGAATACGGTAAGCTGCAACTTGTTTTTCCCCAAAAATAGGTCAACATCTCCATTGGCAAATTATTTGCTAATAACTCCAAAAAGTTTTGGATAGGATAATAAACTGATTAATGGATGTGCATTATTAGAATGAGCGTGTTATGTTGGGAGTAAAAAAGTAGCCTTCATCCTGATTATTGATCCAGAGAAAATGAATGGCCATTGCAAGAAGATCGAATGAAAGACCACTAATCAATTTAAATTTAGTTTTTTTAAGTGCTTTTTCCCTGCGATCAGTTTGTGTAACATTTCTATTTTCAGGAACCACCTTGGTAGGTATCTGAATATCAGCATCTCAAGAAAAGTCATCTGTTGATGATACTAACTCTGAGCAGCCTTGGAACTCCCCATCAGCAAATAAGCTTTCATTCTCTTTGCAATCATACTTCACATGATCTTGAGAAACCGTTTGGTCATATTCAGATGTTGGGTTCCACTCAATATTGCCTGAGGATAGACTCCTGAACCTTGTAATCTGTTTCTCAGAACAACCCAAAGTCATATTCCAACCCAAAACTTTCTCGAATTAATCTATATCAAACACCATTTTTGATGCACTGATAACATGGTCAAAAGATTTCAGTCCCATATTAATGTCTCTGAGCATCATCTCAGTGGCTTTGGCTGCTGGGTGAGACTTGTCGCCTGCCAGAAACTTGTGAAGAGCTCCATTCATTTCCACATAGCTCCAACCAGGTGGCTTCTGAATGCCAACATTATTTATTGCTTTTCTCACACTTGCAGCTTCGTCACGCTGATTTATGTCACTTAGCATATTAGATAGCATCACATAATGGGCTCCATGATCATTCTCCATCGCAAGAAGCTCTAGGCTAGCAAGTTTAGCCAATGCTATATCTCCATATACCTTGCAAGAACTTAACAATGCTCTCCATATCACAGCATTGGCCTTAAATGGCATGTTCAGAATTAAATGATATGCTTCATTCAGATGGCCAGCCCTTCCGAGAAGGTCAACCATGCAGCCATAATGCTCCATTTGAGGATCGATACCATAAACAGTCAACATGGATTCAAACAGCTTCTTGCCATCATCAACTAAACCACTATGACCACAAGCACATAAAAGTGCTACAAATGTGACCTCATCCGGTCCTAATCCTACTAACCCCATTTCTTCAAATAAAGCTATAGCGTATTCACCAAGGCCATGATGAGCAAGACCAGAGATAAGGGAATTATAGAGAAAAGTAGATTTTAGATCATTACTTGTTTTACTGAATATATCCAAAGCAGTATCTATGCTTCCACACTTAGCATACATATCAACAACAGCACAAGTGAATCCCCCGTTTTTACCACAAGGCCAATTCTCAGCAGCATACTTGTGGTGAATCCTTCTTCCTAACTCAAGGGCACCTAGTCGCGCACACGCAGAAAGAGCAGCAACTACAGCATACTCGTCTGGTTTTATACCCAAACCCTCCAACTGTACAAACAGATCCAATGCTTCCTGAAAATATCCAGCATGAGAGTAACCATTAATCATGGCTGTCCACAAAACTACATCCTTTTCATCGATTTGGTCAAACAATCTTCTAGCAACCTCAACTTCTCCGCGCGAAGCATATGCACTCAATACAGAAGTCCAAGCAGCAACAGCACTCTTGTCAGTTCTCAACCGACTCACAACTCTCTCTGCCGTCTCCAAGCACCCACATTTTGCATACATATCAACAAGCGCGTTCATCAACAAAACATTGGAACCTAAACAACCCAATTTCCTGTACACCAAGCTATGCACCTGCTTCCCAATGCTACGATCCTCCAAAGATGAACAAGCAGACAACAAAGCAACTAGCGTATACTCATCAGGCTGAATGCAAAACCCCCTCATCTCCCTAAAAACCCGCAGAGAACAACGAGCACGACCAGCATGCACAAACCCATTAATCATCGTGTTAAAGGAAACGCAATCTCTAACAGGAGTTTGTTCAAACACCTTGCACGCATTGTGGGCATCCCTGAAAACCCAATAAAAATGCAAGAGAGCATTCACAACATAGATATCCGACTCAAACCCACTTTTCGTAACGTGGCAATGAACCTGAAGACCGAGTTTAAGACGCGATAATTTGGCACACGACTTGAGGAGTAAGGGGAAGGTTAAGGTATCAGGGGATGCAGAGGAAGAGAGCATTGACTTGTAGATAGAAATGGCATGTTGGGGCGCGTGGCTGAGAGAGTAGGCCCTGATCATGGCATTGAACAAGCCCTTTGAAGAAGCCATAGCCAAAAAGGACATGAGTCCAGTCACCACCATTTGAGCATGGATTTGGAGGGTTTGTTGCACGCTTTTGCATGATGCTAAGAATTCTTTCAGCGATTCATTTCTTGATAATAATACTATATGGTTCCTCATCCTCATCGTAGCATAACTGGTTCAAAGTTGCTTTGCTCCTCAACGGGATCAATAATATTATTGGCTGCACAAACAATGAAGGTTATCAAGTATATATAATTTTAGATTTCTTGGTCCCTTCATCGAATAATCAACTAAACCCGAATAATCTGATTGGAATTCTGTGTGATTAATGTGAAAGGCGCTAATCAAATATATGGGTTATGATATAAGTTATGTCATCTTAAGAAAGAAATAGACAAAAAAAAAATAAAAATTATGGGAGAGAGAAAGTGGATGATTTTTTTAATTTAAATTTTAAATAATTTTTTTTATTTTGTGTCTATTCCTCTCTTAAAATTATGTCATTTAAAATGACAAACACTTTTCCCCAAATATATATATACATTTGTTGTGTATGACTTAAAATCCTTATTTTATATCAGATTTATTGATTTTCGTCTATTTAATGATTGTTATTTATTTAAAATTAATAGTTAATTAATTGATATAATTTAATAAATTATAATCGTTAGATAAAAAAAAAATCAATCGTTAAGATAGAGAGTAAAACTTCAAACCTTATACCGGAGTCAAAATATCTCTTCATATATATATGGGAAAAACATATATCTTTTTAAAGGATATAATTTTGTATCCTTTTAGATCTTAACTGTTGATTTCCGTCCATCAACGGTTATAATTTATTGGGCCAAATTTATTATTAATTAATTAATAATTTTAATCCAATAAATTATAACCGTTGATAGACAGAAATCACCGGTTAGGATCTAAAAGGATATAAGTTTATATCCTTTAAAAGGATAGATGTTATTCCCTATATATATATATATATGGGGAAAACGTTTGTCCTTTTTAAAGAATATAATTTTGTGTCATTTTAGATCCTAACCGTTAATTTATGTCAATTACCCGTTAGGATTTATTGAGTCAAATTTATTAATTAATTATTAATTAGCAATAAAATTCAATAAATCTTAACTGTTAATTGACAGAAATCAACGGTTAAGATCTAAAATAACACAAAGTTATATCCTTTAAAATGACAAATATTTTTCAATGTATATATATATATATATATATATATATATATATATATATATATGCGAAAAATATTTGTGTTTTAAAAGGAAGTAAGTTGTGTCATTTTAGTTTTTTACTCTATGTACTCCCGATAGTACATAGTTATAAAATGAAAAGTTACATTAAAAGGACACAACTTATATTCTTTTAAGGGGATATGTTTATTCTACCTACTATTTTTTCACCCACCTTTGCCTACTACCCTCCAACATAGTTAAATCAGAATCTTAACTAACATTTATCTTTCTCTCTCTTCTTGAGATTCTGATCTAACGATGTTGGAGAGTGGTAGACAAAGGTAGGCAGAAAAAATGATACGTATAATAACTTATCCCTTCTTTTAAAGCACAAATAGTTTTCGCATATATATATATAGGGAATTACTTTTCTTATGTTATATAAAAAAAAAAATTATCTCCTACACTCACATTTTTCAAATAGGTCCCACAAGATTTTTTTTCTCTCACCTCCAACTTTTTTCTAGATCCTAACTTTTGTTTGAGCATGAGATAATACTTCTCTTATGCAACATAAGAGAAGTATTACCCATATATATATATATATATATATATATATATATATATATATATATATATATATATGGGAAAAATATTTCTCAAGCAGCTTGAGATAAGTTTATCTCCGACCACCCCAAAACTATGTCATTTTATTTATTTATTTTCTTATATTAATTGATTTACCTTTGAATGGTTATAATTCTTTTTTTCTCTTTCTTCCTTTATTATCATTGATTCATTTTTGTACGGTTATGATTTAGTAGCTGGAGATAAAATTATCTCAAGCAGCTTGAGAAACGATAACTCTTATATATACAACTTCTTGGATTCACTTGTTTAGAAAAAAAAATTGAATCATAATTCGATACTATTCTAGAGAGACTAAAATATAGTAGCAAGCATTATCCGGAATGATTGGGCGTAAAACGTCTGAAGGTGGCTTAGAATTCAATTCAGATGTAAGATACCTATCCAGAAATTTTCGCAACTCAATCATGTATCATGGAATCATCAAAGAGTTGCTCTTTGGAGAGCACAGTACAATGAAAGTTGTAAGCTGTGTTCAGGGGTTGAATCATATAATTTTTGGATTTGTTCTTTCCAGTTCAAAGGTTGATGTGACATCCCACTAATATAAATTCTATTAGTGGATGGCCAAATAAGCCTTGTTCTTTGAAAGATCTATCTCGTGTCTGGTAGTTACCAAAGGATATACTAGCCGGGGGAAAAGAAGACCGTTTTAGCACATGCAGATTTCATCGAAATAAAATATATAAAATTGATTGAAAAATTAATATAACTTGACTCCTTAAATCAATAAAATGTGAGTTGAGGTTCTGATTCAACTTGAATTGAGCTAACTTCAAAGCATTTTGAGGACTAGTTTTTATTTTTATTTTTTAGTACGAATCCGAAAAAGTCAATCAAATTATCCTAATTTCATATTCAAATAATTTTACAGCAAGATAATTTTTTATTACTTTTAAGAACGCGAATCTAAATAGCTAATGTGTGTGGTGCAATGTGTAATCTCTAATCAGAAACTCTTAAAAGAGGTTCGTTCGGAAATCTACTAACCCCACCAAGAATTTTATGGAAAAAAAAAAAAACACTGATTTTAAGCAAGATCACTTTATCTCATAATTCTCACCTTTTTCTTTATATATTTCCAATTTATCTGTTATTTACTTAAATCAATTCACATATATTTTTTCTAACTTAATATGACTGATTGCCGGGATTCTATGTATTAAAATAACATTCCATGTCACCCTTTTCTTTTCTTTTGATTTTTTTTTTAAAAAAAAGCCCAAAAAACAATGCAATAGTATCCCCATAATAGAAAGGGAAATACTTGTCTTATATTGTAGGAAATTAATATCTCATATCATAGATACAAAATATGTAAAGCCCACTCATTTATTTATTTTTTTACTTTAAAAAAAAAAAAATGAATCTCACACACTTTGTGTCTATGACATGAGATACTAATCTCCTGAAATTAGTATTTCCCTAATAGAAAACAATGAGAATAATCAAGGAACAGTGTTGAAACTATTCATTAGAATTCAGAATATCTTAACAAAACTTAAATTTAATGCATAAATTTAACATCAAACTCTTACAAGAACAAATAGTTAGCTTCCAAAGCCAAGGTTTACATACTTAAATTTCTAAAATATTTTGGTCAATCCAAACCACTAATTAATCAGACAACTGCAAGGAGCGACGACACTAATTAGATTGTAAGCAACTCGTCAATAGCATTTACTCATTCAGACTTAAGTATCGGCAACCTGCGTCCATGGCTATGTATGCATCGTAAAGCCATTTATTTACCAGCAGGATTCAAGACTGAATGCATACAAATTATTATTTTGTAATAAGCCCACCGGCAATCATAACTATCATTTGTATAATTTGAATACAACTTTATTAAACAGCATTAAACTTTTGTTTCAAATTTCATTAAAACATATGTTGTGACTTGAGAGTGCCCAGTCAACAACATGAAGAATCCGTTCTGCTACAAAATTTTGGTTTGATAGTTAAATTCTTAACAGCATTAGCCACAATATGATTTATAGATCTTTAGGTATTTCAGATGTAAATTGCAATGAAGTTTGTTTGTATTTCCAAGGGAATCAACTACACTAAAATTTAATCGATCCTAAGGTAAATGGTCTGTCCACCAATGAGTTTGCCTCAGCATCAATCTGCACAAACAAAACCGGGCAAGATTCTTGCTGAAATTTACAATAGAATTACCTGTCATCTAATCATAGAGACCTTCCTCATGCCAAGAGTCCACTAAAAAATCCACCATCTCCTGCATTAGCATAATCCATCTTCTTTTCACATAATTTATCCCCAAATTTAAAAAGGAAGCCTGTGTATCTTAAAGAACTTACAGCTAATGGTATTGGTTGTTGAAAAGGTTCAGTAGATAAAAGCAGATCCTCATAGCTTGTTGCCAAACTGCAAGAGATGTTCAGATTACTGCTGGTAAACATAACAAGTATGTATATGGTTTCATAAACACTATAAGTATGCATATAGAACAACCGTATGAGGATGGATCACAAGCCAAAAACTATAAAGTTGCATATAGGACCTTCCCTTTATAAAACCAGGAGTTGGTGCCACTAGCCCACAAGACCAATGGATTATTGCTTACATTTACTAAAACAAAATAAGCATCACACATTTGTATATAAATTGTAACAGTTTCTATTCTAACATTGAAACCCCACAGTTAAAATCAAGATATACATGTGTAATGAAAATTTAGAGACATGGTATAAAGAATTGTCTTTCATTTGTCAAAATATGTAATAAAATCATAAAGGGGTCAATAAATTTGTTACAAACTTCCTCGTGATAGTTGTTTTTTGTCTATTTGGTGTCTATATTTCTGTAGCACAATGACATTCAACAGACTGGCATGCATAAAAGACTGAATACATTTGAATAGGTACCCAATCCTCTTCCCATATTAATATAAAGCTTCGAACTTGTATGTCAGATACATCACGAAACTTATATGCAAAAGGCCATGCCCATATATTTGACTCAACAATGCAAACAGCAGATAGGAAAGTCATTGAGTAATCATTTGCCCATGACCTACTCCATGATTAAGGGAAGAATTCAGTTGTTAATGACAAAATATATGACTCACCATAAAAGGACATATCAGGGTTCTGCCTCTAATTTTCTAACAAGGTAATACATCAATCAAAGTCAATCTTTTTCTTTTATTGTGTATATATTTTTTCATTAACATGATCATATTTGAATGGCAACAACACCTATTCATTTTTGGTTTTCCTTCTCTATAAAGAGTACATCTGCATAACTTATATTAAAGGTATAGAATTCTCTGATGGGATTTTAATTATTAATTATAAATGTGGGACATATGGCAGTGTCCTAATCCCTTGCCACAGCTCAATCAAACTGAGCTGTTAAAGTAGGATTTTAAGGTCTAGGTTGTCCACTCATAAAATTCAAAATGTCGATTTTCCAGCTAGGGAACTTTCTGCACATAGTAGCACTCAGCCAAGAGGCATATGTATTCATAATGAAGCTAGAAAGCTTCATTTGGATATTGGAAATTCTTAATCACTTCAAGATACAATTTCATCATCCAACCAATTACATATGCAACATCTACACCTTATCTATCCAAAGCTATTCATAAAATCTCTGTCATCAGGGAACTAACAGAGAATGGAGGTGGTTTCCAGTCCTCCCTCAAATTACAATAATTAGTTATCAACCCATTATGGGTTCAGAAGTTCAGTGTCTGGCAAACGGAAATGCTCATTCCTTTGTCCTTGAGCCTCATGATTCACTTATTGCCTCACCCCCAATCAAGGATTCAATTTGGGGCTAATCATTTCTTATGATTTTGTTAACTGCAATAAAAATAAACTGTTAGGATACCATCTCTTAAGCAATATTCTAGAAAGAAATGTAAAGAATCCGTCACTCAAGGCACTCATGCTGAGTCACCAAGGCAGTTAGAGGGACAATATTCTGGAAGGGAAATTCTGTTAGAGGTAATGAAGGGGAGTTACATGTGGAACACAGGAATGAGTAGCATAAATAGAAGGAAAAGAAGGGGAAGGAGGCTGGAAATTGGGACTATTTTGGGACTTGGGAGAGACCCAGAGCACTTTCAAATTTGCTCTGAACCTATCTTACTTTTTCTTCACTTTCTTGTATTTTCTTAGTTCTTTCATTACAGAGTTGTTACTGGTTATTTCTGTTATTTGATACTGTATCAAGCTTCCACATCGATATTAATTCCCTTCTGTTCGTTACAAATTTGTTTGGTGAAATGTTGATCCCTATCATAAACAAATAAGCACACCTAGTAAACATTAGCAATCCCAGTGAACTAGATATAGGACCAATTGCATACATGAAGCTTTTTTCTGCATGGATGGCCACAAGGTTTTATATAGATGCTACAGAGTGCCAGGGACACCGAGATATATTTATGAATTGTGTAACTTTGTAATAAGAATAGTGATACAACCCGGCCCAAGCCCAATCAGGCCTATAGGAGGGACGAACACAGAAGGATTTGGGCTTCAGCTAAAAGTGATCAAAGTCCAACCATCACTGAACCAATGGGTGACTCAGCAATTCTGTTGCAACAGAATTAGGGAGCGCGACACCACGTGAGCAAGGGAGGATAAAAGAACGTTGGTGATGAGAGAGAAGGTATCCAGAATCTAAAGAGTGAAATTGAGACTTTGGAAGAGAGTGGAGCCTCTCCAATTGCTTCCCATTATCTTTCTTTTTCTGCATCGTTTAGTTTCCATTGTTGCATTGTTTTTTGTATGTGAGAGGAGCTTAATTGACACTGTTCGTCAATTTGCCTCTGTAGTTATACTTGAAGTTGTCCTTGGAACTTATATTTCCTTATTGTAATACAGATACTGATAGTGTTTCATATATAAAATTGGATCTCGTTTCTTTCTTTTATTTGATTTCTTGTTAATTGTTGTTGGTCCGTATCAAATAGCTATCTAGTAAACCATTCAATAAAAGCTGTCTATTTGTTGTCTTCCTAATTTCGTCAACTTCAATTAACACAAAACAAAGAAAAAATTCTGCAACACATCCTTACATTCAACAAAACACGTACAATATAAACCTTTCCAAGGAGCATTCTCCTTCACTAACTTCCCTTACATAAACCATAACAGGGAGTAATTTATCCACTTATTACTATATAGTAACTGTCCTAAACTGCCCAGAAATCATAAACTACCCATAACTGCCTACAACTAACATAACACATTATTACAATATAGTAACTACACACTATACCTTCTAGTATAGACTATGAAAGGTTTAAGGCCACCAATTTTAATTCAGGAAGACACTAGTACAAACGATTGCAGGCATGCAAGCCCATGATAATGTCCTTGTTATCCACTCCTTTTGTGCTTCATAATCAATCAATCTATTATTCAACCACAAATTTCTCAGTACTTTTAGTTTTATAGTCTGAGCATAATTGAATTTATGCATGTTTTTTGGTAGAGTAGAGGGATCAAATTTTCTTAGTGCATAGTTAGCCCTGCTGATAGTATAATCTTCCACATTTTCAAGGAACACAATTCTACTGAAGATGAAGATGTATAGAACTTCAGTTCAACTTTCTTTACTATATCATCATTTATTGGATAACTTTACACAATAAGAGAAAAAAAAAAATCATAAGCAATACTCTACCCTTCTTAAATCCAATTAAAAAAGCATTCCCCGTCTTCCGACCACCATTATATATTTCCTTTCAGCCAGAAACTTAAATGACGTCAATTTATGTACATGCCCCAGTTTTACATATACAACATACACAGGGAAACTAGTATTGTAGCAACCCCTATCTAATATTATGAACACTTTTCTTTCCAAAAAAAAAGAATTCACATTTGATACACAATCAATCTGGGATAAAGGTGTCGTTAATGTTAATTTGATACACAGTTAGTGTATAACCATATACATTATCAGTAAACAAGACGGTGTAATATCATTGGACTAAACAGAATATTAAACTTTCAGTGAATGTTTCTAACTGTTTTTGAACATGTGGCACCGCATGGTTTGCTGATAGTGTAAATTTATACTGTGGATCATAATTATTTCCATAAAAAAATTATTATTACACCATTGACTAAGCAACACCCTTCCCTTTTTTTTTCTTTCCTAGCCATATCATCATAACAGATGAAATCAGAAGTATGCATATACCTCACAATTGGATCTTTAGGTGGTCTTTCCAATTTTTTAGACTGATTACCAACCCATTCTTTCCTCCTTTGATGCCAAGCTATCTCAGCTGCATGAGAACATAAATATCCTTGAGATCTTCTAACAAGAAGTGCTTAAGTGGATGGCATTTGATACCGCAGAAATCAATCACTAAAAAGAGTCTCACAACAGTCAACGTTCAAGGACAACAAATCTATTTTATATTTTCTAAAAGGTTTTAGGGACCTGAAAGAATTAGTGTCAAATAGGTTACCTAGATCTTTTGTTTACTTCTGTCTAAATTAATTATATAGATATTTTGCATGCATAATTTCTTAGTTTGTAATTTTGAAGGATATTAAATACAGACTAATAAAAACACATGCACAACTATTCCCCTCTATCAATTTTCACATTTTGTAATTCAAACTACATGGAAAAAATGAAACAAAATCTCAAACAAGCAACATCATGCTAAGAAATTATAACTTTCAAAAGACACGGGGTAAAGAAGGCAATATTTAGGGAGTTTTTTAATTCTTCCAAAAACATTCAAAACATGCTAAAACCATTAATTTAAAGTTTAAAAAGAATACATTAGTCTTGTAAAATAGCAGTCTTGGATCAATGTTTCAATACTAATTATGAATATTAAAGTTGTAAATATAAAAGGAATAATTATGTAATTACAGTAGATTGTTTTATTTTATTTTTAGGACAGTGTTTTGTTTCCTATTTGTTTCTTTACATTTCGCACTACTTTAGGTGAGTAATTGTTGATATAATATAAATACATTCTGTACATTGATCATCAGAAAATAATATTCAGAGTATTTCCATCTTTCCATCTTCCAAGTTTTCAAGTTTTAACCCGCATTACATGCACTTACAAGACACTTGAATAACTCAAACCATAGGAGAGATTTTGCAAGTTAGCTTCTTCTTTTTTATTCTAAATTAGAATTAAAAATGTAAGAAAAGGACATACCATGGTTTACAAAGACTTCTTTCTCAGTGGACTTCTCTTTGCTAGCATCACGTGAACCCTCTGAAGAGTGATTCTGATGGGCATTTGAACTGCTACCATTGAGTTCCATCTTCTATGGAGCAGTCAACCATGCCTTCTAAACTACTAATCCGCATGCAAGGGATATAGATAGAAGGCACTGTGTTAGAGCAAATCCTTTTACCAGTGATCAAGATAGAGTTTCTACCCAAACAATTGAAAAATGCAGGGCAATTTGGTCTTTGGGAACTAAAAATCTGTGCCGCTTCTAAATTCCACATTCAAAACTGAGAATTTTTCAAATGAGAAGTTCATATTTCTATGATTTTCAGCCAATCAACTAGGAAATTCTCGAAAACTTACCAAGTTACCAAAGGGTTTGTTTCAACCGTTTAGGGTTCATAAAAAGCATTATTTCCCTCTAAGGGGAAACAATAACCAAAATCAAAGAAAAAGATGAAACAATATCAGAATACATATTATTTGGACGATGCATCACTGATGAACCACTATGCTTAAATATCCTTTTAGGTTACAACGCATCAACTTGACTAATTCTCAATCAAAACATATACACCATAAACATAGCAAAACAGAAAGGAACAAAGAAACAGATAATAAGCACTTTCCCTTTGCTTCCATAATTTTAATTTTTCAATTGATTTTTGCATAAATGCTACGAACCAACTTAGACACGCCACAAAATCGAGCCATTAAAATTAAATAAAGTAGCAACATTGATTCATTGCATCAATTTTTCGTTCTAAGCCATCACCTCTGCTTCATTGGTGACAACAAATCTATCACTCTTTTCAGCAAATACACTATTCTTCAGTAAAATAAAATCGAAATCACTATCTATTTCACCGTTTGGGTAATACATTGAACAGTGAAGAGTTAATAATAAAGCAATATACTAATTAACAACCAGTTGAACAGCGAAGCTTAGACTCAAGCTCCTTGGGAAAAAAAAATCAGCATGGAGAAAACTCGTTACCACGGGATTTAAGATTTGAAGTACGATTTGATCTTCGGAAAAATCATATTGACGATTGAAAAGGATAATACAGAAGAAATGAGAGGAAAGTGGAAAACCTTTGTGTTGTACCGTACTGCGGAAGGAAAGAACAGCTTTTGGTGTTAGACTACGATGCAATTTGTTTCTATCGTTTAAAAAATTAATATTAGGGTTTATTGTGCATTTGATTTTTTTCAATTGTTTTTATATGGGTGATATATAATTTTAATAATTTTTTTATATGAAAAACATCAAATCTTTAATATTATTATATAATATGATAGGATTCTAATTATTTATTGTCAATCATTATGTTTTTAATTTTTTTAAATATTTTTTCTCATAATTTATTATGATTGTTTTACGTAATATGATATTAGATAATATATGAGATGATTCATTTTCAAAAAATTATAATCTTTATTATGTTAAATTGAGTCAAGATAAATTCAAAATATCAATTCATCCTAATTTCTTTTTTTCTTTTTTCTTTTTTCTTTTTTTTTTGGTACATTCTTTTTTTACTAATTCGTCTATTAGTTGATTATTTAAATTCAAAATCAATCGATCCATATGGTGATCTTTCTTTTCTTAATTCAAAATATATCAAATTTTCACCAAATATAAATATATATATATATATATATATATATATATATATATATCAAATTTTAGTTTTTATAACACTGTTATAATTCTATAATTAATGGGAGTTTTTGAGTATGAGGCACGTTGTGTGGTATATTTAATGTGCTTTCAACAAAATATTTTCAAAAGTTTGATGTTTTCGATAAGTTATCTACGTTCACTTCAAAAATAACGTTGTTTTGGGTTAAAAAAATTAAAAAGTATAATGATAAAGATAACCTTAAAATAAATTATAATTACAAAAATATTTTGATTTCTGCCCAAAATAATGTCGTTTTAGATTCAATAAAAATAATTTATCCGCATTCGGAGAAAACGAACACCTTCAATTTTACACTTGCATACCATTTTCACAACTTGATTTTTATGTAAAACTGGTTATAAAATGAAGCAGTGTTTCAATAGACTTTACTAGTGAATTACTCGTGCGATGCCCGAGGAAAAAAGAACAAAATCGATGTCGTCGTCGTTGGTTTGTCGTCTTACTGGTAAATGCACACGCTGATCTTGATATCAAGCTCTTAACAATAATATGGTAATAAAAAATAATTATATTATGTGCTAATTTTTAACTTGAAAAGGCTGTAGCATTCACAAAGATAAAAAAAGTAAAATAAAATTTTGTACGACAAAACATTTAATCGTATCGAGTAACCTTCACCTACAATTGCACAAGTGATAAAATTTATTCTTCTTCAGAGCGAAGAGAAAGTGAAACATGTCTAGCTGGTTTAAGTTTGAAAACAACATTATATGTCAAAGGCATTATTTCATAAAATACCATAAAGAAGCAACACTAAATACAATAACACTATTTTGCATGACAACAAAAATAAAATTTTGAAAACCTAGTACATTCATGAATTACGAACAACACCAAAAAAAATAAACCAAAAAATATTAAAAAATTCATTTATTTCATTATTTGCAGCACAATATTCACATGTAATATAATTATTATCGTCATCTTCGTCTCGGTCGAATTCTAATTGCTTGCTTGAAACCTTTTCATGGTTGCATGTTTTGGAATTGCACCAAGATTTGTCATGATTTTGAACAGGATGTTTACGCACCCACAAACTTTGGATAACAGATCTGACGCGCTCTTTGATTTGATTGAACTCAGTCATCTTTTTCAAAGCACGTAAAATTTCTAATCCAACATTTTGTTCATTCTGATCGTTGCCAAACATCATAAGCATACAATAAACGTACTTGGCTTCATCGTGACCATTCTGCGCTGCAGTGTTAAAATTTTCAAAAGCCACCTTATCGCGCAAAGAACAGCAACTCTGTTGGTAATATTGTACTATTCCTTCACGGTACAAAATTTTCTGAGTTGATACGACAGATCTGAGTCCACAAGAACCTCATCAGCGTCTTGGGACATGGGTGTACGTGACCGACGGTGATAAACCTGGAGAGGGAGGTCTGGTGTTGGGACATATGGAGAAGTGACAGTAGGCGGTGGTGGTGAGGGATCTGGTGCCGGGACATATTAAAATGGAACAGAGGGTAAAAGTAACTATGTATCGACAGAGTCACTAGGAACGGAGGTGGAGCCAAAAAATGGAACAGACTCAAAGAAAGTAACATCCGTCGAGACAAAAGAGCGACGGAGACTGGGAGAGTAACACCGATAATCTTTTTGTGTTCGGGTGTAACCGAGGAACACATATTTGTGGGATTTGGCAGACAACTTGTCACGATTGGGGCCGAGTTCTTGGACAAAATAAGTAAAACCAAAAATACGAAGGGGTAAGAAATGTAAAGGCTTATGGGAAAACAAGATAGAGTACGGTAACTAGTTATCAAGGATAGTGGAGGGCGTGCGATTAATGAGATAGCATGCGGTGAGAACAACATTCTCCCAAAACCTGGTAGGAACATTCCCATGAATTAAGAGTGTCCGAGCTGTTTCAATAAGATGACGATTTTTTTCTTTCAGTAACCCCATTTTGTTGGGGGGGTGCGCACATGATGTGTGGTGAAGAATGCCGTGAGAGGCCATGAATGATTAAAATGGTTGAGACAAATACTCACGAGCATTATCACTATGAAAAGTGAAAATAAGAATACTAAATTAAGTAAGAATTTCTAGATAAAACTGCTGGAATATGGAGAACAACTCAATGCAATTTTTCAGTAAAAGCAACCAGGTGTTCTGAGAATAATCATCAATAAAGGTAACAAAATATCTAAACCCCCAAGTTGATTCAATACGACTGGGTCCCCAAACATCAGAGTGAACCAAACTAAAAGGAGAGGAGGCACGACTACTGACTCTACCAGAAAAATAATTGCGAGTATGTTTTCCGAATTGACATGATTCACACTGTAAAGTAGACAATTTAGACAGAAGTGGCACCATTTTTTGGAGCTTTGTAAGACTAGGATAACCCAACTAAACATGAACAGTGAGTGGAGTCTAATACAGAGTGAGCATAAGAGGAGCTGGAGAGCAGGTAAAGGCCATTGGACTCAAATTCGTTGCCAATTGTCCTCCTTGAACTTTGGTCCTGTAAAACAACATAATTTTTGGTAAAAGAGATGAGACAATCAAGAGAAAATATTAAATGGCTAATGGAAATAAGATTAAAGGGTGAACTAGGGACATAAAGCACATTAGAAATAGTGTGAGAGGGAGAAATATGTATTGTTCCAATCCCACGAGACTGAACTTGGGAACCATTAGCCATAGTAACAATAGGCATGTAACCAGAGGTAGAAAGATAGGAGAACAAATACTTATTACCAGAAATGCGATCAGAGGCACCGAAATCAAGAATCCAATGACCAAAAGATGAATTTTGAGTGAAATCAGCAAAGTTATTACTCGCATGCACAAAGTAGCAGTGGATCCGGGAACCATGAGCTAAGAAATATTCTGAGAAAGGATAAATGAGTGAGAATCAGTCATGGGTCAGATTGAAACAGAACAGCTCCGTGTGAGCTATGACAACCCTTGTTAAGAAATCTTGAAACTATAAAATGATTATAAAGTTGATTACTAGTTTACACTGACTTTGGAATAAGCAAGCTTTTGATGTGAGTTTTGTTGAGTAAATGAATGAATTGACATGATAAATATTATGGTGATATAATTTATGTCAAGTAAGGTAAATTGGAACCAAATGAGAATATTGATAAAGTTTAGGGGTCAAAGTATAAATATGTGAAAGTATAGGGACTAATTTGCAAATAAGAAAAATAATGACTTGAGCTTAATTTTGATTGTGTAAATAAATTCTCTATGGAATTTTAAAGACTATAAGTGGTCTTAGATTGATCTAATCATATTTAGATTAATTTATAAAGTTAAGTCAAAGCTTAGTAAATTAAAAGTCAAAGGTATGTTAAATTGATTGGAAAATCAAATAATATAAGCAAAGTTGACTAGTTTGATAATCTAGTCTTATTTTTTACTAAATGGTTGATTGTATGCATTTTTCAGTCCTTAACATAGTTGAAAATATATGTTTAAAGATGGACCAATCATATAAATTTAAATGGATGACCAAGTCAAAAGGGAAGAAAAGTTAGTAAATTATTAGTTAAATTAACTTGTTGAATTTCCCATGTGTACTGGTTGTTTTCTTTCTCCATGGATGCAACGCACTTTTGTCTTCCATGTGGACTGAATATATATGAAAAGAAATGGACAATAAGATTAAAGATGCAAGTGTTGAACGTCAAAAATAATAGGCTAGTTGGAAAAGTTATAAACTAAGTAACTTTGTAAAAATATCTAATTGTCAATTTGGTTGCTTTCTTTTATGTTGTACGCATCATGCATCCTTCTTCCCTATGTGTGTGCAGCAAATTATTTATGTGAAGTAAAGATAACCAATAGAAACTCATATAATGTTGACCGGTATGAAACTAGGAAGATAAGTTTTGAAATTGACAACTAAGCTAACTTGTAGAAAGTTCTATAAATAATTTTGGGTTGTTTCTTCTTCCTTATTTCTCCTACGAACTCTTTCTTTTTCTTGTCTCCATGGCCAAAGCATGTTCTTGAAGAAAGACAAGCTTGTAACTCACAAACTAAACACTTTTAGGGTTAGGTTTCTACATGAAACTTATAGTTTGAGAGCTTGTGATCATGAATACATGTATAGTTCTTTAAGAGAGACTATATAAAGGGTGTTTTATCCTCTCCAAATTCTTGAAGGTATGGCTGCCATGTGTTGAAAAGATGAGATTTTTTGTGGTTTAAAGTGTGGAAATTAATCTAGTGTTGCTTTGGAAGCTATATAAGATAACATACTTGAATTATAGTGATTTATTCTTAAGATTTCATATATGCTCTTCTTACTTTAAGGTTGAACAGATGATGTTATACTCTTGAACATTTAATGGGGTTTGAAGCCTAAGTGTTAGGTCCTGGATAGACCGTATTGCTATACCGTAGGGTATGCGCTCAGAGATAGTGTATATCAACTGT